TCTTCAGGGCAGGGAAGGTGCAGGCAGTCAATTTCTCTCCTAAAGGCATCATCCACTTCATTAGTGTTCCCAGTGCCATAGCAATTAACACTGCCACCGCTCCCCCATGGGGAACCCCATGGTTCAGATAACATGACCCCGTGCATTGAATATCGACAGCAAGCAGAGTCAGATCTAATCCAAAGGGCCAGGCTGGGATGCCAGATAGCACCCATGGACCAACCACATGTGCAGACCCTGGGCTGAATCAAGCCCACAAACCAACCCTGCATGTGGGATTAGGCCTGAGGTACCAAAAATGTCAAGCACTACTGATCAGGAATGGGCAGCAACTCAGGTCATGAAGATCTTGGCTTACTTTGATTTTGGAGGGGCTAAACAAAGCACAGGGACAAGCAAAGCTTTAACATGCAGTTTTCCTTGAAGGCCTATAGCTACTCCCGTAGATCAAAGACAATACCATTACTAGGGGAAATCATGCTTCATTTGAACACAGAAAACATAATACAGAAGCTCCTGCTCTGACTCTGCACGGATGTCACACCTATCACAAGGGTCAACGACTTCAACATACGCAAGTTGCAGAATAATTAAAATCTTGCTCAAAAAATTGTCCGCAAATCTAAGAATTTGTTTTAACAATTCTATTTCCAACTCACTGCAGTTGCGAAAAACCTTTTTATACAGACAACCCTGAATCAACCCAGTGAAAACTACTGGCAGCTGGACACCACCGTTCTTAAATGAGTGCACTGTTCTACTCAGCTCAGGGTCTTAATTTTTAAGTCTCCGCAATGTAGACAAGACCTTAAGTTATCTTTGGGATTTCAAAGAAAAGCCTCCACTAGCTGAGCTGAACCCATGTTAGAATATGCAAGAACCATAGTGTAACCAAGGGTTCAGAATCCGGACACAAAATTTACCAAGGCAGTTCTAATTTCAGTTGTGGTAGAGCATGCTCAGACGCCTTGTCAATACCAGGGCTGACATGCACTCTAACACTCTTCTAGTGCGTAGCTTGCTTTTAATTTTGTTAGCATGAAGCAGCCATATGTCACTGTTTACATGATTACTGGTTCAGGACAGAGACCTTGATTATGGCTACAGTACCTAGAAAACTCAAGGGCCTAACACAGACAAGGATTTATATGAGCATTAATATTTTGTTGGCAATTTTAGTAGAAATATTTAGTTGATTTATCTTGTGAGGAAATGTGAGTGGCAGTTCATCACATGTCAAAAGCCCTGAGTGACACTTTCCCACACTGCCAAAACCATTAGTTTCCCTCCCACTTCTTTTGATAGCCTTGGGCACCACCACAAAAATCTGACACACCAAACACCAAAAATTAAGAATGAAGCACAAGAACAGCATAAAATGGAATACTGCAGACACCTCAGGTTTTCTTTTATTCTCTCTCAAATATTAACATCTAAATGAAGCTTTTTGAAAACAAAAATGAAATTACCAGAGAATTCATGTTTCAGCACCAGAGCGCTGACCACAGAGAATCAGTCCAAAGAGCATGCAGTTCCTTCACAGAGGAACTTACTGACTTCAGGGGAAACCCCCCACCCAACAAATTCTGTTTTCCATTTCACAAATGATCAAAGAGGACTTCTAGAGATGCTGCCACCTAAATTCTACCTAGACATTGTTCCATCTGAAACTGGTCATCTCAGGAACAGATGGGCTACCACAAATAAGACAGGCAAGGATTTCACTATTTTTATTGACTCAGTGTTATGCATTTTACTTACCCCTGAAGGGCAACCCTTTGAAATGAAAATCTTTAGCTGTAGGAGGCAGTACGGTGCATCTTTATACCCCTGACCAGGGTATTTAAGCATTACAGTCATGACAGAGTTAAATACCCACCAGCTCAGAGGAGAACAAAAGGTACTCCACTGCAACACGCCTAACATTTACATTGCCTCTCTCTGCTCATTAAACAGGTTTTGGTTAAATAATGAACAAACTGTATTACAGACTCCGATGAGAATTCCAAAATTATAAATCAACTGGTAAAGCCCAGAGGAGATCGAAGGGAGTGGGAGGGAAGGAAGGATAATATTGACTAATATAAAGGGCGCAGCTTGACAGTGGATATTCCTGCCACACCTGATCAAACATGTTCCATGGGGGGGAGGGGAAGGAGAGAGGAAGAAGGGAGATGGGACAAGGCAGCCTGAAATTTGCATCCGGAACAGATTAAAATGGATTCTTGGGGGATTGAGAAAATACATAATATATATTACTATAAATGCAAAACTGTACTAAAAGCTAACTCAAATGTCAAAGATTACAGCTTGAATAAATTTAAATACAAAAGCTATGTGCTTCCATGAGTTAATGAAAGAGACATGAAAGCAAGGTTTAGGCAAGAACTAAGCTCAGGCCTCACACTAGAAGGTGGAGGGCTCAGCAGAGTGGACATCGTCCAGCAGGCTCCACAATGTTACAAGATATTGCTTGGGTATCTTTGCATGCCCAAAGCTAAAAGATTAGGCACCTCATCTGCCTCCTATTCCAAGAACTTAATTTATAAAGAGCAGTCACAGGGATGAAAACGCCTGCTCACAACAGCACCATGCTTTGGAAACAATGCTATCCTGTCACATACAACACAGACAACCACTAGGCCATATTCACATAATGATCCTGGAGTTCACAGGGAGCTCCTGGATTGCTCAGCACATGGAATTCTCTATGCCATGAGCAGATGGTTTGGTTGCAGTCATTCCAGAGAGATCTAATCATAAGTTCTCCTTGGCTAGTAAGCCAATGAGCATGCTTACATTGTGTTACTTGAAAGCAGAATCATGAACCTCCAATTGACTTGCTCTTGCTTAACACATTTATTTGTCTGTATCTTTCACCCTGTCAAGTTCAGGGAAGACCTTCTGGAGGCCCACTGCAGAAGGAATCCCAGTCTTCTCAAGAGGGAACCACAGCATTAGTAAGGTTCAACAAGAGACAATACCTTCAAAAATATGCTTGCCTCTCACATATTTCCTTGACCATGACAGCTACAACATCACTCCAACAGCTTGGTTCTTACAACCAAGGGATGCCTGAAGCAAGCCTGTCCTTTCAGATGCTAGGCATAAAGAAATCCAGGGAACAGTCCCTCCCAAGGCACTTCTAAAGGTAGGGCACATGTACTCTGGGCAAAGAATGAGATAGAGGTAGAAACCCCTAAAACACAACCTCCTAAGGATCCTGGGGCCAGAGAAAGTGCCTCAGATCAAGAAAGTGCCCAGAAGTATACTATGAAAAAACTAGCCATCTAAAGAGAAGTACTATAATCTGATATAAGATTCCCATTTAAAGCCAAGGAACATTCCCTTGGCATGGAGAAGAACCACTATACACCTGCAGCTAGATAGGAAAAAAGGAAGGAATTACAGCTCTTGGCTGCCATACACTCACTCCAATAACCTCTCTCCAGTGCCTGCAGATGGTGCTCCTGGGGCTTTAACAAACACTACTCCTACATAATTCCCAGCTCAGCACCTATAGGGCAGTGGGCATGGCCAACAAGTGGGCAAGTAGAGAGATGACCTTAAATGAGCTGAACTGCTTGTGTTGTTGAACACTTCGTGCTGGTGCACAGAAATTCAAGAAGCATGATTGCATAATATACAAAAATGTGTTTCCCTGTGTTCCATTCAGCCATAAAACACTGGGATCTCATAAGATCTAACAATGCAACACTTTGGCACAAGGCTTTCCCGCTAACACATGTCCCGCATAGAGTAAGTAGGGTTTGGAGTGTTGTTGTTGCCATAAAGACATGAAAAAGGATGCTTTGTCTAACATCTGTTCCAACTATACTGTTGATCCAACAAGAGATACCACCAAAACAAAAAACAAAAAAACCCTTGCTTCCAGAACAGAGTAAAACAGCCACACCCAACGTACCAGAGAAGGCTTCTTTTTTTTTTTTTTTGGAGGAAATTATCAAGGGTCCATACTACATAAGGCTACTGGCCAATTTAATGTGTGCATAAGATGTGATATTAAATTCAAACTGATTATAATAGGCTACGATTTATACGTAGCATAACAACATACAGGTCCCCTCATAAACTAAGGGAAAAATACTCCATGTAATGTCACGTCTAGAAAGTATGTTGAACAACAGTGAAGGCCTACCAATCATTGCAAGAACATCTGTCACAGCTGCTGCCCTGGAAGACAAGCCTGCCTCCCTTCAGCACAGTCTTGGCACCTAACAAAGAGTTTCATTTCTGAGCCCAAGAGATTTGTATGGAAATTGCAGGCTGGTTTTCATTAGTATCTGACAGCAGGTGACCAAACTGACAAGTCGAAGAGATGGGAGAAAGGAGAAATAAGATAGTGGGAGGCTGCTTTCCAAACAGTATTTTCCCATCATTCATGACCCTGATGAAATAAACAAAATACATACTGGAGCTTGAACAGAAGGCTGAAATTTCTTCATGCATTGATTCAATGTAATACTACAAACTTTGTTACACCATAGAGAAAAATCAGGGTGAAAGTAGAAACAGGAAAGGTTTTAATAGAATGCAAAAGTAAGTATAAAGTGTTATGAAAACTACGGACAGAGGCAAAGTTATGGGCCAGAGGTTCAGAGTATACAAGACAACATTTCCCAGGGACTGTGCAGCCAATAGTAAAGTGTAAAAACAATACCAGTGCTCAGGACAAGCAAATACACAATTCACCAACACTTTTCAGATAGATGAAAATCTAACAATATAGGCAGGATATTTATGTGACTGGTAGAAGCAAATCAATGGCATGCAGTTGTATGGGGAATGGCACATGCATGTGTACAGACAAAAGTCATTACTTCCACTTATGCACTGAATAAGTATTTACATTATTTGTGCTTTCACACACAGTATATGTTCTTTACATAAAAAGCACCTGACCAAAAAGTGTCACTTTATGCATGGGCACCAAGGCACACCACATTTACACATCCTGTTGGATATACATGTGAGCTTACCTGTTATATTATTTAGGACTTCTTTCAAGAGGCTAAAGCTGTGCAGCAGGGGATCCCGTTCTTCATCCTACATGTTTGCACACACAAAGAATGTCAGTAATGAGTTCAGTACATTCCTAGAGGCATACACTAAAAAAGGGTCCACAAAGGTTTTACCTTTTCAATAGAAACTAAAGAGGAAACAGTAAGTAGGTTAAATTAATTTATTTTAGTCCCCCTCAAGTCCATCAAGAACAAAAGGATGCACTTATATTACCTTTTATGATTACCCAATGCTGTGCATCTCATGTGGTCAAGGAGCAAACTTTCTCTGATCATTCTCTTTGGGGTTCTCTATCCTTAGAAGTACTTTTGGCTTGCCTTCCACTGCTCCATAAAAAATTCAGAGCAGATCTGTTTTATGCCACATTTAACACCCATACCAAATCCTTATAAACCAATTTAATCTTCAGAACAATTTAAAGCAGGAAGAGAACTACAAGCGATAGCTGGTACTATTACACTAACTTGAAGAAAAACCCAGTGTGACAAAATTATAAGAGTCACCGCACTCTTTAGTTTTTGTCTATTTCCAATTCATCACAAACAGTGCTTCCTCAGAGCTCTGTGCATATGCAGTCACACCTCCCACTGGGAGGCACCCCACACTAATGAAGGAATGCTTGTTAGAAGGAAAAAGAGCCCTGCCTTTTGACAGATTGAAGCCATTTGTGTTGGATTAGAGCCATCTGTGTTTCATGTGCCATTTTGCAGCGTGCCACAGATACACTTTAATTACACTGCTGTATGGATAAACCATCCAAGCTGGCAGAGACATCATATGACCTACAAAAGTTGCATTAGTGCCTTTAACAAATCAGATTTGACCTATTATCTTGTTTCAGCCAATAGAATAGTTTACAGGCACATGACAGCCCTAAAACAGCCACTGTACCACAAAGAGTGAAAGATACCCAGTGCATTAGCTTACTCAGTTCCACAAATTTTCCCTTCCTGGCTTTTCAGATTGTATGACTATCATAGGCAGCAAGACAAAAATGCATATAAAACACATGCTGAAATGAAAGAGACAACACTTTCCAACTCCCTGTGACATCCAAGGTTATTCCCAGACAGGCCTGAATAAAGTGGTAAGGTGAATGCGAGGGTATTTAATAATATCCCCAGGTCAGTTGCTTCTTAACTCAGGGGGGCAACAGATTTCCAACTTCAAATCTCAACACCAGCTAATATTACACATTTGCTTACAAGAGCACACAGTTAAAAGGTCAAAGCTGCTTAGAATAATATACCACGGCAAATTATTCCAATGTTACCTAGAAAGCTATTATAGGGTGCCTTGTTATGAAGGAAGGGAACAGATTGAATCTCCTGAAGGGAACAGTTTCTGTATTCATGATGCCACACACAGATCTTGCCTATTCAAGCACACTTACCAAATGAGTATGGGTGCTCCATCGGGCATTGCGCTTTATGGCACCCACCACTGTATTGATTTCACCTTGGACAATGTAAACATTCTTATCCACCATCCTGACAGTCCTAAGAAGAAAGAGAATCCATTAATAATAGGTTGTCCAAAATAAAGTACCTTCAATCTGCCCCAGGTCAGGGAAGGAGCCTGTAGCAACAAATATTTTTAGACCATATGTTAGCTAAAGGAGACTTCCCAGTAGAACCATTTAGCAATATTATCCTGCTTTGTGCATGAAAACATAGACAACTCTACCATGAGATAAAGGCTGCACTTTTCCATAAGAAAAGCATTCAAAAGCAACTAGTTATAACATGACATGCATTCAATAACAAACAAAAGAAGGGAGCCCCATGCCTTCTCTTCTTTCCCTGGACATTTAGGCATGGAAACAAAGTATTACAGCAGAATCCGAGGTATTTGTATGGACAAGTTTACCAACTGTACACATTGGGAGGAAAAGTGAGAGCAGATAAAAGCAGAGATGGAGTCCAGTTTAGCCTGATGCTGTGCAGGGCAATGAATGCAAAAGCATTCAATTCTAAGCTATAATTCAATGTACTGAGATAGAAAACAGAAGAGGGAAAGTATTATGTATATGGTTGGAGTAGCAGCACTTTAAGGCTGTAGCAACAGACAGAAACAAAGCAGCAGGGAGTAGACAGGGCAGTCTTATAGAGATCAGTGCTAGAGGTGACCCAGACCTTGACAAAAATAGAGAAACAGGCATGGAAAGGAACAAGTGAACTGATTATGCTTATGAAAAACAAGAACAGGTAGACTAATATCAGAGAACATCACGTGAGAAAACCAGGAAGACTAGAAAGTGTGATGGTAACAATGAAAACTTACAGAAGAACTGAAAGGCAAAAAAAAAAAGAGAGGAGTTATGTTTGAAAACAGCTGAGTTTGAGATGGCAGCAGAACTTCTACAACAGGATGAAATGCTGAGAAGAGAAGTAAATCTGAGCATTAATAGAGAAACAGAGGAGAAATACAGGCAGCACTGAACATAAGAACATCAATGGAGGTGCAACTAGCTACCAAAGGAAGAGATAAAAGCAGTTTTGGTATAGTCACCCAAAGTTTCAGTCACATTCACACATGCGTAAACTTGGAACAAGTATCCTGTAGACACTAAACCACATTAAGTAACTAAACATGCAAAGGCACTCATGCTCAGGAGTCAGAAAAAGCCTATCTTGCTTTAGAGAGACGTAATTTTGCAAAAGCAAAATGCTGCCATAATCTGCCCGATCAGAAGAAAGTGACAAATTCCATGAGTTTAGTGTCTGCAATTTGATGAACTCTATAATTAGCTACACCACTGACAGATAAGGGATAATTAAATATATTGAGTGACTTCCTAAATGTTATAGAACAAGTTAATAGCAGAGCTATGAATACGAGGCATTGCCATATCAGATTAGGCAAATCAACAGTTTATCACACTCAGCATCTTATGTGAAAGTGACCAGTACTAGATATTCCAGAAAAAACATGCACCAAAACCAGAGTACAAAGCTTCATACCCTTATTTGATCTTACACTATGTAATTGTGGATGTTCTACTTATCCACATGCATAATTCTTTTAAGTTCTTCCCGTCTTCTTCAGTACTTTAGGGCAATAAAAATCCACGTTAGCCCCGAGTTACTAAATAAGTCTTTTTACCGCAATTTTGAGTATATCATGAGTTCATAATGCTTGCTTTGTCCTGATATTACAAGAGGTAAACTACCAGTTTGCCATTTGTTATTTTGAGAGTCTATCATATTCCCATCTTGCTAATCTCTTTTCTCAGAAGTCCCAATCTTTTCAGTTTCTCTACACTGGAAGTCAGAGGTTCCAAGTATATGGTCTATCTGATGCACTTTTGGAGACAGCATGGTATATACAAATTGTACAGAACCTAAACTTTCCTTTTTTAGAAGTTTTATTTTTGCTCTTATCATTATAAGGATCACCTTGAGGCTGTAAACTAATGTAGTAATGTCTCAGTCTGCCAAAAACCTGAAATGACAACTAATGTAGAAATACCAAAACACACAGCACACAGATCAAACATGTGGAAGACAAGTAATCACATGATATATACCATGAACCAATGGCTCGGACAACTTTTAAAGCAGGGTGGTCCAACTTTGAAGCAGCCAGGGCCACACACCAGGCAGACTGCATGCCTTGTAGACAAGCCCCTGCTACACCATGTGCCCTTGCCCCCACTGCCCTGCTGCACTACATACCCATGCAGATACCCTGCCCCCCACCACTGTACAGTACAGCCATGACACCCCATACCTCCCCACCCATTGCCCCCAGGCTCACCCCATGAACTCAGTGTTTCACCTCACTGCATCACACTGTCCCCTCAGGCAGGCCTGGGAAAAAAAAGCCTAAGGAGGGAGAGGAAGACCAGAGACTCTGGGGAGAGCAATTGCGGCAGGGGGGAAAAATCAGCCAGGCGGAAGCCTGGGGGCTGCAACTTAACCTCTTGCAGGACACATGTGGCCCATGGGCTGCCACCTGGACAGCTGTTTTAAATCATCGCCTGGGTTCAGCTACCAGGGGCACAGCTATAAGCTGCGTAGGACAATATTTTTCAACCTTTGCCGTTTGCAGACCCCTATAGAAAGCTTGAATGGAGGTGCGGACCCCTTTGAATTGTAAGTCTGGGTAGTCATATACTTTTAATTGACCACAGTCATCTTTCACAGAACCCTCAAACATAATCTACAGACCCCCAAAGGTCTGCAGACCACAGGTTGAAAACCGCTGGTCTAGGAATATCTCTAGACCATATTACTTAACATGTTGAGCTAACATCCAACTGCTCCATATAGGTAACATGATCAAAAGATTCTGGTGTGGTAGGGAAAGTGTAGTACTGGGTGGGGCCAACACCAGCTGTTTGTTGGTGTCAGCCCCACCACCACGCCAAAGCCCTGAATGGCTCCTATGCTGTGGGGTCTGGGACCAACAAACAGTTATCATCCACAGTCCCTGAAAGACATAAGAGCCATTCAAGGCTCCTGTGCGAAGTTGGGACTGTTTCTCTGTCCCAGACCCGCCCCTGCCACCCATCCTCACTGCACTGGAGTCTCCCAATTGTATTATTTTCATGGAGCAGCTGGCCATTACCTCAATATGTGTTAAGTAATACAAAGTGGAGATACTGGTCACTAGAAAAGTCCTAACTTTGCATCACACTGAATGGCACTTAGCAGATGTTTTACTGCTTGAATGCTCAGATGCTAGCATTTTAAGTGCAGTTAATGCATCCTACCAAACTCAAGCCCACTAGGTGCAGGCATTCAAGCTCAAGAGCACTGGCAAAAAAGGGTCCAGGAAGGGTGGTCATTCCTCAAGGGAGCGATACTACGGGCACAGAAGGAGACAATCCCCTTGTGCATAAAAGGGAACAAAGGGGCAAAGAAGCCCTCTTGGCTGAACAGGGAGGTCCAGGAAAGCCTAAGGGCAAAGAAAGGGGTATACAGGCTGTGGAAACAGGAAGTAGCTATCAAGGAGGAGTACACCTCCCTGGCTCGCACTTGCAGGGAAGCAGTTAGAAAAGCCAAAGCAGGATTACCACTTAGGCTAGTGACAAAAAGTACAGGCAACAAAAAGTCTTTCTTCAGGTATATAGGGAGCAAAAGGAAGGCACAGGGTAGCCTACAACCCCTACAGGACAAACTAGGGCAATTGGTGACAGAGAGCAAGGACAAAGCTAAGCTCTGCAATGAGTTCTTTGTATCTGTATTCCTAGACAGACCAAGACAAATCCCCCAGTTGGATCATAGGCAGACACAAGAGGGACACCAGCCCACCAACTGTTAGTGCAGACGTAGTGAAGGGGCACTTGGAGGGGCTGGAAGTGTTCAAATCAGCAGGCTCAGATGAACTTCATCCAAGGGTGCTGAAGGAATTGGCCAGTGTCATAGCAGAGCCGCTATCAGGGCTGTTCAAACACTCATGGTGCTCTGGTCAGGTCCCAGAGGACTGGAAAAAGGCCAGTGTGGTCCCTATTTTCAAGAAAGGGAGGAGGGAGGAACCTGGAAACTATAAGCCAGTTAGACTCACCTCTATCCTTGGGAAAACTCTGGAAAAAATCATTAAGAATCACATTTGTGGGAGCCCAGCAAAGGAAATAATGCTGAAAGGAAATCAGCACGGATTCATTGCAGGTAGATCCTGCCTGACTAACCTTGTTTCTTTTTATAACCAGGTCACAAAATGCTTAGACGCAGGAGTCAAGGTAGATGTCAGACTTTAAGAAGGCTTTCGATACAGTATCTCATTCTGTTCTCATAAATAAACTGACAAGCTGTGATGTAGATGATTACACGGTCAGATGGGTGGCAAACTGGCTTAGGGGTCACACGCAGAGTGGTGTGGCCTGGTCGACATTGACCTGAAAAGATGTGGGCAATGGAGTCCCGCAAGACTCAGTCCTTAGACTGGTGCTATTCAATGTCTTCATCAGTGACTTGGAAGAGGGCATGGAGAGCACCTTGTCCAAGTTCGAGATGATTCCAAATTACGGGGCAAAGTTAACACACTACAGGGTAGGGAACAGATCCAGGCAGATATGGACACGTTGGAAAAATGGGCAGAATAAAACAGGATGCAGTTCAACAAAGACAAGTGCAAAGTGCTGCACCTGGGCAAAAAGAACCACCAACACACTTATGGGCTGCGGGATGACCTTCTCAGCAGCACAGCAGCAGAAAGGGATCTTGGAATCATTGCTGACTCCAAAATGAACGTGAGTCGTCAACGTAAAGAAGTGATCAACAAGACTAACTGCACTTTATCATGCATTAGCAGGTGCATGATGAAGAGGTCCAGGGAGGTTATGCTTCCCCTCTATGCAGCACTGGTTAGGTCACAGCTGGAGTACCGCATCCAGCTGGGGGCACCGCACTTCAAGAGGGATGCAGAGAATCTTGAAAGGGTCCAGAGGAGGGCCACTCATATGGTCAGAGGCCTGCAAACAAAGCCCTACGAGGAGACACTGAGGGACCTAGATCTCTTTAGCTTTTGCAAGAGAAGCCTGAGGTGATCCTGT